TGTCATTCCAGCTTCCATGAGGTGGATACTATGGGCTCCCACAGTATCATCTACTTCCAAAATGAAAATGACTTCCTGCTGTTACCTGGGCTCCTCACCATCTTCTGTTTCATCTCCCAGCTCTCCTATCATCTGCTTCTCTGCATTCAATTCCCTCTGCTATAAATACAGGAATTCCCCAACATACAAACAAGTTCTGTTCTGAGAGAGCGTTTATAAGCCCAATTTGTTTTAAATCCAAGAAAGCTAGCCTTGGTACCCAACTGACACAATTGGCTATATATTTAACAGGCTATACTGACAATTGATGGATAGAAATACATGTTAAAAACCAAGTGTGAGCAGGGCTCCGTGGCTCAGCCTGTAATCCCAGCACTTTGGGAGGCTGAGGTGAGTGAATTGCCTGAGCCCACAGGTTCAAGAACCACCTGGGCAACTTGGTGAGACCTCATCTCTACAATAAATCAAAAATTAGCCGGGCATGGTAGTGCATGCCTGTAGTTCCAGCTACTTGGAAGGCTGAGACGGAAGGATTGCTGGAGCCCAGCAGGTCAAGGCTGCAGTGGCCAGGAGCAGCCACTGCACTCCAGTCTGGGTGACAGAGTGAGACTCCAACTCAAAAAAAAAAGCAAGTGTGTATTGTTAAAGTTCATAACTTGAAGATTCCTATGTAGCGGACTTACCATACTTGAAGTGGGTGCTATTTTCTTGGATAGACTCTACCAAGTGGATCAGCCAAGTGGACTCACATTTAGCTGTGAGATATAATTAACATATTTTTCTCTGAGTATATATTAGGAATGTCTATCTTGGGCAACTTGCATCCTCCGATTGGATTCCTGACTTTTTAAAAATTTTATTTTTAAATAAAGGCTATTGCAATAGGAAAGCCAAGTGGCAGTTATTTGTTTACTTCATATTTTCAAAATAGTTGAACCAAAGCAACTCCATATCCTTGGCTATTTTCAAAGGACTGAATGATACGCATGTAAATATTCATCTCTTATCCCTATCTACTTTGGTTTGGCTGTTGCACATTGATGACTCCTGGGGAATGAAAGTTTTGTTTTATATCAAAAAGTGAAAATAAAAACTAAAAAAACCCACAGACCTTAAAGTCTGGCTCATCAATAATTCCCAAAGATTCCATGTTTAATTTGAGCCAGAGATTTCTACTTATCTGACCATTTCCTGCACCCTGATGGTTGCGCTGCCTTTGGAGCCATGACTACATCACTCAGAGTCTGCAGTCAGCTCTCTCAGCAATACTCCTCCTAACTCTGCTAGTTTAGGGATCCAATTTTCACTACACACTCCCATATGCAATCCTGGCCTATGAAGAACAACAATGTACATTTTAAAGGATTCTGCAGCCTGCCTCAGCAATCTACCTCTCATGGGAAGAAAGATTCTTCTGGGCCCTGAAGCAGAACAGAATAAGAGATAGGTAGGTCAGACACACACATACATACATCCAAACCGATATTTCTAGTTTGTACAGTCTTTGTGAGCCAAAAAGTACCCAGCATAACAAAGGGGAAGGAATTCAATGTCACGTAGCATAGGACAGCATTCAGTAGTAGTTTGCACGTACCAGGCCATCAAACTTGAAATTAAAGCTGGCTGCCTAGGCTAGCTCATTGAATGCAGACTACCTGGTGAGTACCATAGCAATGATTTCAGTGAGATCTGAATTTCTGAAATTTTCTCTGAAAATGTTTTCTTCTCCTATACCCTCTAAGGCATGTATGTGCTGAATTTCAATTAATTTTCTTTTGTTGTTACTGAGAGAGCAACAATAAAAGGCCAGATATAGGCTTGAGCCATATAGGGTTGCCAGATAAAATATAGGCTGTCCAGTTGAATGTGAATTCAGATAAACACGAATAGTTTTTTAGTATGGTCTATGTAATACTAAAACCAATCATTCATTGTTTATCTGCAATTCAAATTGAACTGGGAATCTTGTATTTTTATTTGCTAAATCTGACAACTCTATGGGTAGGAACAGTTGGCACTAACTTCTTTTTACATAAAAGAGCCCTTGGTGCTTTTTGTAAGGGAATAAAAAGAAGCAGGTAAGAACTAAGACTATGGCATGAGATTGTCTAGGTTTGAATCATGTCACTGTCCCTTAATGATTTATACAACTTTGGACCAGAACCAGCTCCATTATTTGTGGGGCTGAGGTGTCTCATCAGCCTCCATTCTCTTCATTTTGGCAACAGGACACCAGAGCTTCACCTCCTAAGAGATGCCCAGTGGCCTGTGAGGTGACAGATTGATTAGCTGTTTGGCTACCACTTACCAAGCAAGAGCTTTTACATTTCTGCACTAGAACATAGAATGGAGCTTCATTGCCTTTTAAGGTCTAATGGATAATTCCAAATATTACCTTTCTCTAGGTGTCTGCTGTATGCAATCCACCACCAATATTACTCAAGTGTTTCTTTTTGATGGCAACAGAAAGGAACCTAAAATAATCAGCAAATCATAGATTTTTAAGTGAAAGAGTCTATGATTGTTCTTATAACCTGAGAAAGGGCTGTGCAGACCAGCTTTAGGAAGGACAGGAATGGGAGCAGCAACATCAAAACCCAGCTATAGAAAGAAGCCTGATGTCTCTACGCCAGGTCTGTACCTAAGATGACCCTGCTGTTGTCTCTGCTTGGATGTCAGGCTTTCTTTTTTTTTTTTTAATAGCTTGAATCCAAGTGTTCTATTCTTGGATCAGGGTCAAGGACTGAGAATGCTGACATGACCAGAACCTCCAAGGGAATCAGTATGCACTGGGCACACACCGCAGTCGGAGTCTATTATAAACTGTGCCCCAGCAATCCTACTGTTAGGATTCAATACAAGAAAATACTCAGGGATACAATAAGTATGAACAAGTCTTACTGCAGTGAAGATATGGAAGTAATTTAAATGTCCAAGGATAGGGAAGAGATAAAGTTGTGGTATGTAAATGTACATTCTTTATGAGGTAATTTTTAATACCAGATTGATTTAATGTTCTCGAAAGTTCTCACATAAAGTTTACAATGCAACTTAGAGTTTTACAGTAATTTCTTTTTACAGAACATACACCAAACAATTAAAACTCATCAGTTCCCTCGCCTAGATATAATTTTTCCCAGTTCAGTGGCCTCCATTTTTCTGGTTGATTGTTTTTGAGACAGGGTCTCATTCTGATGCCCAGACTGGAGTGCAGGGCATGATCTTGGCTCAATGAAGCCTCAACCTTCTGACCTCAAGTGATCCTCCTGTCTCAGCCTCATGAGTAGCTGGGACTACAGGCATGTACGACCATGCTCGGCTAATTTAAAAAAAAAATTGTAGAGACAAGGCATCACTATGTTGCCTAGGCTGGTCTCAAACTCCTGAGCTCAAGTAATCCTTTCACCAAGGGCTGGGATTATAGGCACGAACCACTGTGCCAGCAGCCTCTATTTTTCTGAGTCAGGAAATTTTTCTAAATTAAAATTCCTAAATCGACTCCAACTTACCTTTTAAAATGGAAGACCCTTGTTTCCTAAGCTAACTCGTCAAGAGAAACTAACTAACTTGGTCTAAGATTTCAAGATCCACAGAAATGCAACATCTTTTATGAAACCTCAATCAACTCTAGTGATCTCACTTGTCACAAGACTTCTCTACATCATGCTTGCATCACTCATGGAACCCTTACACAGCTTTCTGTGGTTAGTTTCAAGAGCATGAGAGAGCTTTTTAAATTTCACAATGTTTATTCCAGGGTAGAAGGAGGGAAGGAGGAAGAAAGGAGAATAGGAAAACTTGGACTATTCTAGTTAAGAGATGCCTAAAAGTAAAGAAAACATTGATAGCCAAATGCAGTGTGATCTGTGATTAGATCTTCAGTCAGAAAAATTGCTCCAGGACTTCTCAAACTGATGTGCATATAATTTACTTGGTTCTTGTTAAAAGACAGTGGGCTGGGCATGGTGGCTTATGCCTGTAATTCTAGCACTTTGGGAAGCCGAGGCTGGAGAATCACTTGAGCTCAGAAATCAGGAATTTGACACCAGCTTGAGCAACATACCAAGACCTCATCTCCACCAAAAAAATAAAAATAAAAAAAAGTCAGGCATGGTGGTGCATGCCTGTAGCCCCAGCTATAGAAGCTCAAGGCTGTGGTGAGCCATGGTTGTGCCACTGTACTCCAGGCTGGGCAACAGAGTAAGACCCTTACTCAAAACAAAACAAAACAAACAATAAATGACAGTGATGCCTAAGATGCTGGTTCAGGGATCAGAAGCAATATTCCAGAGGGCATTTTGAGGCCTACTGGAAAAATTTCACTGTATTTTAAACAATACTTCAATGTTTCCTTTTTATAGAGTGACAAGGATATGTGATTGCATGGGGTAATTTCACGTGCAGGAGACAGATACTAAAATGTTTAGGAGTGAAATGTCATGAATCCCGTAACTCACTTTCAAGTGAATCAGCAATAACATTATATAAGTAGATGTGCATATGAGCAGAAAATGGGGTAAAATAGGAAAAACAGGAATCTCAGTGAAAGGCAGACGAATGCACACTTTTCTATTCTCTTCAACTGTTTTCTGATTTGAAAATCTTCAAAATAACAAGCTCAATAAAAAGATAAAGAAAAATAATGCATATCCCTAGGCTATATTCCACAGGGATTGAGTCAGTACATTTGGAGTGAGGAATCTGCATTTTAACAAACACTCCAGAGAGTTCCATTATAGTTTGCATCCAGACCATACTTTGAGAACAATGTTTTAGATATTAGTGGAGAGTATTGTTTGCTTGATGACTTGCATTCTTGAAATGGTTAGGGCCCCAGGTTTGAAACAACGTAACAAAATGTGGTAGCTGTAGTCTGGTTTGCCTAGAAACCTTTACATTCTCCTTGTTCCTCTAACAGCACTTTCCTTCCTTGGAGATTTTACTCCCCGGTTCACAATTTGAGGAGAGATAGATAGAAATGACACCCACCTAACCCTTACCTTTCACAAGCAGGCACCTGCAGAAGTTTTCTATGCTGAATAACAAAATAACATAAATTTAACAGCTTCAAAGAGCATACATTTATGATTACACAGTCTCTGTGGATCAGGAGTCTGGGCACAGCTCAACTGGGTCTTCTGCTCAGGATTCCACCAGGAGGGGGTCAAGGTGTCAGCCAGAGTTCCAATCTCATCTGAGGCCTGGGATGCCCTTCCATGCTCACTGGTTTTTGGCAAAATTCGGTTCCTTGCAGCTGCAGCACTGAGCCCCTCAGCCACTAGAGATTCTCACATTTCACAGTGCCACAGCTTGCTTCCTCAAGGCCATCAGGTGACCACTGCTTTAAGTCTCCAACCCTCACTAAAGGATTCACTGGCAGATCCACCCAAAATGAACTCTTTTGTGGTTAACGAAAAAAAATCTATTGATATAGGACCTTAATTAGGTATAAAACATCCCTTCACTTGAGTCATATAATGTAACCTAATCAAGGCAGTGACTATCCAATCATACTCACAGGCCCTGCCCACATGCAAGGGGAGGGAATTATACTGCATGTACCCCGGGGAGAAAGAATCTTGGAGGCCGTCTCACAGTTCTGCCTACTACAACGCCTTTGGTGGCCCTTAGACTGTGTATAATGGTCACTCCCACTTCCTGGTACTTAAATCCCTGTACAATCCTCTCCCACATTGTGCCAGGGTTGGTCTGGGTGACCAGCAGAAATTAGGACCTTCTGAGATTAAGCTATGAAAGACGCTGTGACTTTTGCACTGGTTCTTTCACTCTGATGGCTCACTCTTGGAGAAGTCAGCTGCTAAGCTGTGTGAATAGCCCTGTGGAGAGACCCACATGGCAAGGACTGAATCCTCCTCCCAACAGCCACATTAATGAGCTTGGAAGCAGGTTCTCCAGCCGCTTCAGATGACCGCAGCCCTGGCCAAACTTACCTACAACCCCATGAGAGACCCCGAGCCAGAATCACCCAGCTAAAGCTGCTCCCAGATTCTTGTTGCTCAGAAACTGAGATGATACATGTTTGTTGTTTTAAGCAACGAAATGTTAGAGTAATTTGTTATGGTGCAAAAGATCGCTAATAAACACCTGACCCAGGCCTGACTAATCTAGGAAGAGTGAAAGATGGCTGCATCCCTCGTCCCTAGCAACACAAGGAGAAGCACATATGCAGTAGGAATTAATGAGCCCTCAAAGAAAGGGGCAGAGCTCAAAAGTCAGTTGATGGTGCAAGAGTGGCAGTGGTATTTTTTTAGCCTCTGGATCTAGTTAGCCGTGAATTAGTGTTGTGTCTGTTGTTCCCAGGATCATGAGCAAATACATTCCCTTTCCTCCATGTTAAATCCAGAAACTTCAAAGTACGTTCAGCCCAGCCGAAAACATTGTGGCCCTCTCTCCAACTCCAGCAAGTGTGGATTTATACTGATAGGCAATGTAGTCAAGCCAAAGACAGTAATTTGTTCCTGTCACGCTCCACCCTCTACCTCACCCCTGCCGCTGCCTTGATGACTGTAATTAAGTTGGTTTGAATCTGATTTCTGTTCACTTTCATCCAAGAGTTCTGACTCATAAAAACCCTCTGTAGGATCAGTTTCATGACTCACTCTGGTCATTTTTTCTTTTTATACCATCTTTTCCTTTAAGGTCATGTTAGCTGATCCTGAATCATATGTTACGCCATGCTTTTTAGGTTCCTTGGAAAACAAGTTCCGTTTACTTGTGCTTCTAAGAAAGCTCCTACAGCATTTTCTCCCAGGGAAGTCTCAACATGCTGAGAATATAGCAATTTGGCTAAATGATCTACATTCATTCCAGGGTAAATTTCCTCTGTAGTGTATGGCTTTTTGCTTCCTAACTTAGCTAATCAAACACTCTCTGGGTACTGAGCCAACTGTTCATACTAAAGCAGCCTGAGCAGTCATTGTGAAGAGAAACACAATAAACAAATCCCACGCATGAATCAAGCGAAAATTCCGAGTTCTAAGATGTAATATCTCCATACTTGCTGCTCTCAGTGCAAAAGAGTCTTTAGGGACCCCACACGTAACCCACAATTCTGCCTCTACCCAATTCTGAACTGCAGCAATGAGTTATCACAAATTGGAATCTTTCTCCATGAGTCTCCTTCCCTGCATAACCAATACTATTTTGATTTTCTCCTAAACTACCACTACTAATGTGACACAGAGACAGTGCACTTTAAAAGGCAAAAGATTTGTGCAATCTGAAGAGAAACAAAAGTGTGAGAGATAGTGCATTTTAAATCTATGGTCATTAGACAAAGTCAAAAATGCCATCCTAACTGCCCTCCCCCACAATTCCAAAATTTACCATTTCTCAGAAAAATATATTACACAAAGTCTAAATTCACCTCAATAGCATCAACTCTTACTACATCATTTTCTTCAAATTAGCCTACCATTCACAAAATTTGGTCCTAGAAAAAACTCAAGTTAAATAATCCTATTAATAGTCTTGCCTTTGGGTTCAACACATTCTGAGCAGCCAGGAACTGAGTTGCGAGTGTACAAAGGAATTGGTATAAACAACAATTTGCATTTTTACCCTAAAGAATGTTCTCACTCTACCATATTAGATAAAATCAGAAGCTCTAGAACCAGGCTACTTGTATTCAAAGCTGTGGCCAAGTTACCTAACTCCTCTCTGCCTTAGTTTCATATCTGTAATATAGCGATAATAGTAATATCCACCCCTGAATCATTGTTATAAGGGTTACCTTAATAATATTTGCAAAGCAGTTAAAATATTCTCTGGTAGATAGTAATTATTAAATAAATAGCTGCACAGATGCTATGGAAACCTGATTGTATTTTGCCCCACTTATCACAGAATGTGCTTTAGGATCACTCAGAAGAGGCAACACCATCACATCTTGTGTAGGGTTAGTACTCTTCTACATGCTGTGTGAATAAAGTTAGATTAAGGTGATCACAGAGTCTTAGTGCTCCAGAAGACTAGCAAAATAACACATAAATCCTCTTTGGAAGAAGATATTATACCAAGCAGAAAACTTCTATAACATTTTTTGCACATATAATGTCTGACACACAGTAAAAAAAAAAAAAAAAAAAAAAAGCTAGGTACTCAGAGACAAGAAAACAATCAAACAGACAGAAGTAACTGAAAATAAGACTCACAAGCCCTTCAGATGTTGGAGTTTTTAGATACAGACTTTAAAATAACCACACTTATTTTGTTCAAGGCGACGAGACAAGACAGGGAATTTTGGCAGACAACGGAAAACCATAATAAAGAACCAAACAGAAACAGAAACTAGGAAATAATAACTGAAATTAGCAACAGTTGAATAGATTGATTTATTAGCTGATTAGACAGTTAAAGAGAACCAGTAGCCTGGATATTGATTGATCAGAAAGAACCATTCAGAATGAAGCAAAGAAACAAAAAGATGGAAACATTAGAAAGAAAGGTAAGAAACAGGATACAGTAAGAAGGTGTTACATAAGTTTTAGTGGAATTCCAGGAAAGAGAAAAGAGAAAGTGTAAGAATTACTTAAAGAAATAACGAATACAAATCTTCCAAAACTGAAAGATATTAATTCATACATTCAAGAAGCCCTATAAATTTCAAACAGGATAAACAACCAGGTGCCTTATATCAAAATATTAACAACCAAAAAGGAAGAAAAATTTAGAGCCATTAAAAAAAGCAAAAAAGGCAGGCTGCCTTCAAAAGAGCAACAGTTAGGCGAATAGATTACTTTATAAACAGAGGTAATAGAAACCAAAATGAAAACAAAAACAAGACAAAAACACACACACAAGAGAATATCTGCAAAGTGATTAAAGAAAATAATTTCTAACCCAAAATGATAGCTCCCAAAATATAGCTTCCAATCAAAAATTGTAGGAAAAACATATTTCAGGAATAAGGTGAAATGATTTTCAGATACACAAAACAGAATTTGTAACCAATAGGACTGCACAAAAAGAAATACTACAGGCATGTTTTTCAGGCAGAAGGAACATAACGCCTGGTGAAAGTTCAAATTCAGGAAGAGATATAGAGCAATGAATATGGAGCAAATTTATTTATTTTATTTTAATTATTTTTTGAGTTTGAGTCTCATTCTGTTGTACAGGCTGGAGTACAGAGGCAGGCTCACAGCCAATGCAGCCTCAACTTGCTGGACTCAGGTGATCTTTCCGCCTCAGCCTTCCAAGTAGCTGGAACTACAGGCACGTGCCATCATGCCTGTTTCATTTTTGATTTATTATAGAGATGAGGTCTTGCCAAGTTGCCCAGGCTGGTCTCGAACCCGTGGGTTCAGGCAATCCTCTATAATCCCAAAGTGCTGGAATTATAGACATGAACCACCGCACCCAGACTTGGAGCAAATTTAAATAAGAAGACTGCTTTTTCCCATGGAGATGCTAAGGAAGTCAGTCTCACCTAAAAAGCTAGAACACCTGTGGAATCTCCTCATTGGATGGTTGAGCCTTGAAACAACAGAGAAAATGTGAGAAGTCATTCTGAGCAATCGAGAACACTTGGAACTCTGTGGTAATGAGCGATCCAAGCACCAATCTCCAACAGCTTGGGTTTATTGCATGTGCTGCTGTGGAGGAGGCAGATGCAGTCACAAATGCAAAACCACCAAGGTGGATGGAAGAGTTGTGGGACCAAACAGGGTTGTCTCAAGAGAAGATTGTCAAAGGCCAGGTGACCACTTCACTGTGAAAAAGATATTTGTTGGTGGCATTAAAGAAGATTCTGAAGAATATCATCTAAAAAATTATTTTGAGCAGCATGAGAAAATTGAAATGATTGAAATCGTGACTAACCAAAATAGTGGAAAGAAAAGGGGCTTTGCTTTTATAACCTTTGATGACCATGACTCCATAGATAAGATTGTCACTCAGAAATACCATCCTGTGCATAGCCACCACTGTGAAGTAAGGAAGTCTTCTTGAAGTAAAAGATGGCTAGTGCTTCACCAGCCAAAGAGGTCAAAGCGCTTCTGGAAATTTTGGTGG